GAACGACAACCGATGGACAGGAGCCGTTAGTGAGTGGATTCGGCGAGATGTCAAACGCACTGCAGCAAGACCACTGACCCGACGGTAAGAGCTTTTCACGAGAAGCCAAGAGGAATAGTGTGTTCGTAAACGAGTCTCTAGAGCGAGCAAGACCCACTTGGCTGCTGTTGGACGAGACAAGGAAATATGGAAGATTTACTGACATCCGCTCGAGTCACTTAACGATAAACGGGACTGCAGATGACACCGGTGACACAGGTATATTGTGGCGCTTGTGGATATCGCATGAGGATGATGAAATAATTAACTGGACCGACCAGAAAGGTAGCCGTTGCAAAGCCATCCGCCATGATTTATAGAGCACGATGTGTAACAATGGTCGTTATTGGCATTTCGAAAGAATTGCTTGACCTTATTGGTAGTGCTAGTATTGAATATGCAAGTGCTAGCCAACCAGCATCGATAGATACATTCTAAAGTTATAACGTGATTTCTGCATAGGTGTTAGTAAACAACAAAGCAAGTATATTTCTATGATAATCGGTGAGAGTCAGACAACTTTCGTGGTGAATAGGTTACAAGGTGATCCTCGTTACGTTATGTACATGTTTCCGATGTCTTCGGTGGTGCAAAATTTTTCTTCATGTGTTCTGTAGATATCCTCTTAGAACACTTTTCAGTTTTGTGACGAGAAAGGGATAAAGAGATTATACCGAAACGAAATTTTCGTCTGCAAGCCCTTCTTCTTCGAAACCAAAAAACTAGATTATATTCCCAAGTACTGAATACTATTAACGTTATCATAAGTGGTATTTTTCTCACGACGAACATGAAGGTTTTGACAAGAATGCATTCTCTTTAGAAGAAGAACAAGATGAAAGCTAAGAAAAGTGCGCTTAAAGTTCTTTGTGTTAAGGTCTAAAATTGTGCGCAATAAAAGTGTTCCCTACAAAGGATACACTTAAATGTTTCACATAAGGGATGTGCTTCGCAATGCGTCTGATTATCGCTGATAATAGAGTTGGAAATCTATGCTCTCGAGAAACTTTTAAAGGGTGGAAACAAGATTTCCTATTTGCACATTAAAGAAGTCATTGGGAATGGAGAAATTGCCAGCGTATGCATTTTAATTCGTACCAACGTCATGAAAAAGTTGTCTGGATTGATTACAGTACACAGTGCTATCATCAATCATGTTGACTCTAAATGAAATATCACGCAGGTACTTGCTGCGGTGTATGTCACGAGACACTTTAGTATTAGTCTGGGTTAGGTGACGTTGAATACTATCAGATAGAAAAAAAAAACAGAACTGACTAATCCGAAGAGTCCGCGTGTGAAACGACGAGGTATATCGTTATGGTCAGAGATAAGTTGCGTTGAATCCATGAGTCAGAAGAAACTGGTGTAGTCATAGGATTCTACGCAAAGGGCACCCAGAAGAAATGCGATAGTAAAGCCCGCCAATTCCGAGACTGGTCGTACTGTGAGTTATTTCCCACTGTCTTCTAAATGAATTCCTATTTCGCCGTTACGGTAAAGGCTCATAGGATGCACAGATGCAAAGGTGGATACCTGAAGATTGTCGGTCATAAGCGACGGTAGGTTCAAGACCAAAGCGACATCCGACTACGTGATTTCGCTGATTAGGTTTTTATGTATTCCATTTTTAGTAAGATTGATTTTTGGGAAATACTCCATCTATGTGGCCGATGAAGAAGAGCGTGGCTTTTCCAACAGTTTCTTCCTGGATCTTCATCGAATATGTTCAAAACATAACGAAGAATGATACTTCTTTGAACGAAGACTATATACGTTTTTCGAGGTGCAGTTGTTCACTGCGTATCGTGGAGAGCGATCGTTAGAGCATAGTTCCAGAATTCTACTTCGTTGTTCCAGCTTAATGAAAAGGTTTCATCTCATTGCTGGATGAAGGAAAGTATTGCGACAAATACATCGTTGCATGTCTTGTGGCGCTCGTTTGTTGTGGAAGGATCGCTGATAATTTGCTCGGTGCTTTGAATTGATGAAAATAGAGTATCCGTGAGTACAGCTGTTCGTGACCAATACGGATTAAGAAAGAGATCCTAATTCATTCATTGTAAATTTTTTACGGATGATGTCAGTGATCAGGTTTAGATGTGTAGTAGGTAGTTAAAGTATGACTATAACACATTCTACCCTATACCTGACTTTTTACTTGAGCAGGAAGAAGAGCTTCTAAAAGCGTTTCTCGGGAAGTACCAACCCAAAACTGACGTACTGAGAAAAATATCTGGTTACAGTGCATTGCCAATTGACGTTCCTGGACACCACATGCAGGAAGCCGGATGAGTTTTGTGAAAATAATATCTTTCATGGTAACTCTACCATCGTGCAATGTTTTGAGAACATCTTTTGCATTACGATGGCTATCTGATGTAATAGGTAGCCATTGAATTGAGAACAGTGCCCTTCCATGCAAGCCGGATTCGAGCAACGAAAATTTCGTGGTGTTGTCGAGTTATTCCTTATTGTCGAGGATGTTATGCGAATCGTGCTGAGAACCGCGATAGTCATGGATTTTTCCATCAAAGCAAGAAAATTCTGGTTGTGATAGAATAAGCGTAGCAACATAAATAAGTAAGGAGATGTCAGCAGCAACTTTGTTAATATTGGCAGTTGTAGAAGAATACGAGAGAAGACTATTATGCGCTACAATATCGCTACTATAAGACATTCTCTCAGACGAATTAGAAAGAATATGCACTCCTCGATGAGTAAACTTGGGGCCAATAGAATTTATTAATGAATGTTTTTATAGTTGAGTAACAACATTAGTTGTTGTTTCATGATAGGCCACACTTTGCAATGTAATGTTCGGGAATACTGCGCCTCTTCTTATCAGAACCCTGATGAACCAGCCATTCATTATGAACTTCGGCAATTTTAGTGCGCGCCTCCTAAAGGTGCTTCTTCAGTGTGTTTATTTCAATGCGTAGTGACAGTATCTCAGTACAGTCGAAATGTGTAAATTCGACATTTTTTTTGGTGGAATTCGTGTTCGATAAAGGTTTGGTGCGTAAATAACGCGTATTGCTGCAGTGGTTCTTTGGAAAACCGATCTACCGCCGGATGAGAGTGCTGTCTGTAGGTAGCAGACTCAGGAAAGGCAATCGCAAGGTCGACCGATAATGTGGAGAGCACGCGTCGAGAACTGTTGCCGTGGTCACTAGGTTTTTGTACGCCACTTTGAACTGGAGGTATCCCACTATGAAGGATGATCTATTTATGATGGGTTTATCGAACTAAGAGATGAGATAGAAAACAGGAAAAGCGAGCAGCTTGACAAATATAATTGGGCGTGGTAAGAGTGTTGTAGAGCTTTGTTCCTGGTGATCATAGCTGGGCTAGTATACAGAAGACAAGACCCAGTTTTTCCTCTGCCACAGCGCTATTTTTTTTTTCGCCGTTATAATTCATGTGCAACTATACAGCATATTTAAATTCTATGACGCTGCATGTTATAACACGGAAACGCAATTCGGTTTTCTTCAGCTTCGAATTTCCATAGACGGCACAGCTGTGTCCTGTTCATTACAGCTAAAACTACTTTCTTTATGGTTGCAAAAAGCTTTACTTGTTAAGAAAACGTACTAAACATCATCGATTTATTAGCACTAAGAGCACTGCCATCTCTTTTGACGTAAGCAACTCGCGTTTAGGAGCAAATTAAAAAACCGTTTTTTCTGTAATACCCATTTCATACATTAGATTTTTTTCTGGTAAAAACTGAAACGGGTTTCAGATAATTCAGTGTAATTCCGCAAAGGAATTTGACGCAGAATACGCTTGAATAGTGGCCATTTGGTCTTTCACCATTGTGTAGGTGGCGCTGAAGCCCTACATATTCTTTGCCCCAGTCACACAAACTGCATCCTGTTTCTTGTTCAGTGCCGGTGGTGATGTCTGAGCACTGTATCTTGTAATAATGCAATAATACACTTATTATCACAAGGAACTGAGTCGCTGTTCACACAACGTGTTTGATCTGCCTGTTTTTTAACATCATAATAATTTAGCTAGCCTTCGATCAGCTTAAATTGAAAAGTCATAACTTAGCATTTGAGTGAGATGAGGTACTCTTGTACTACGAAATACTCTGAAGATCGGATTTCACTGATTGCCTTTTCGTCCTACAAGACGTCCTAGTTTCCAACACGACCACCAAGGGGAGTATGGTCCTCACCTACATCAAATCGTTTTCGCCGGTAAACGACTTTTGTTCCCGTTCTACTTTATTTCTGGATTGTTGCACCGTTTTCAAGACCTTTGCTGAAAAAATTTTGATAAATTATAAACTCTTTGCAAAACTCTGGACCGCAGGTGTCTATGGGGTGAGGAACGAACGCGCTATTGTCCTTTCCGGGGAGTAACGCGTTCACCACCACACAATGCGGGTCCTTCGTTTCGCCTGTCTCTCAGCTATTTCTATCGATCTATTCTATCTATTCACACGACAAAAATCGCTGATGCTCTTTCTTTTAGGGTTGATATGCATATGAGTATTAGGTGTTCGAAGATATTGTTGAAATGGCTGAGTGTATTCTACTACCCTGTTGTGCAGTTGCTAGTAGACTTTACGGGTTCCATTATGCCAATATTACCACATTCAATGAACGATAAGATATTTCTTCGCACTTCTGCCCCTCTTCCATTTCTAAAGACCGCGAGGTCTAATTCACGCCACCTAAACATGCACAAGCACATAAGAAAACAGAGCGCCAAGACGCATTGTGTCTAATGGATGAAATTAGTCAACCTCGTTTTAGCGGACTTTTCATGGGTTGCAACTTGTAGAGCTTCTATGTGATCTGATTATAGCGCTCATCTCTTCACAACTTTGTGTTAGTGATGAAATTTCTCTAAGAACTTCAGTAGATGGTCGTTTCAAAAGGATGAGAAAATTTTTTATTACGTCCATTAATTCCACCACGTTGTGTAATACGTTTTGCTTCACGATGAAGTTAAAATTATCTCTTATCAACAAACATGTGCTTAAGGTTAAAGAAGATTTGGATTTTCGTGCCGATCAAGGATCTCAACTGATCCAAAAAGCCGAGGTGAACCTGATTTTCGGAAAAATAGTTCCGATTCTGAGTGTTCATCAGGGCATTGTCGTCCTGTTGAAGGAGTTAGTGGAGAATATGCAGGGTAGTGCGGAAGTACCACAGATAGTCGAGAATACGGAAACCGGTGCTGAACTCGCTCAGGTAACTAACTGTTGCTTGCAAATCAAAGTTGCCTTTTCTTAATAAATTGTCAATGGAGTCTTTATAAAAGTGAAACAGCCCGAAGTTAACCCTTGGTGCAAATTCTAGTCACGGAACTTTCTAATTTTTCACTTTGCTTACACACAAGAATAATCACTGCGTTTATGGTAATCTTATCAATCGCCAACTAACCCGATTAGGCAACAGCAATTCCACCTTCTGCCCTTATCACATTTTAGAGCTTTTCGAGTTGTCTGGAAACATGAGGAGCACCTCTTTACGAGATCGCTCATTTTTACTCGCTTAAGATGCTACCTTTATAGATATTTATCGATGCGTATGAAGAACTAAGTCAGGCATACCCCCCATTTTTGATATACCACGAAGCGATAAGAGGTTTGATCGCGGCCGCTCAGGAAAGGAATCCAGACTTTCGTGTATACTTAATGGTATGTTGATCATTTTAAACTAACGATTACCATATTCAACAAGTGATTTCAAATTGTTTTGTGATGGGTCATTTTGGTACGTAATCATTGGTGGGAATCAGATCAATTTATCACAAATTTTCAAGTTCAGCATGTCGTCAAAACTACGCCAGTGGGGGTTGCTTACCATAATCGATGACTTCATCATTATGAATAACAAATAGAATAACCATGGACATTTAACCATGCCCGTTGAACACTGTTGCGTTCTTCGGTTTGAGACCTAAAAAATATAAATTGTTTCGCTAACCTCTGTGTAAGAAATGCGGTTTTTCCGCTTAACAGTCGAGAAGGATTGTTTTCCGCAGAAGGGAAAGTCTACGCAGTAGTCGAGATAGGAAGTGCTTCCAAGGTTGCTTCCAAGGTACAAAGTGAAATTTGTTTTTTCAACTCTCTTCAACTTCATGGGAAATTAGGATTGGTGCTCGCCTGTAGTTGACCATTTCGTTAACTGAAGAATACTGTTTAATGTGTGTATCTTCGGCCTGCCATTATTCTTCATCTCTAGGAAAAAGAGCGTTCGGAAGAGTTCGGAAGGAAAACTTTTGACGATCTATTTATACGACCGGTTCAACGTATTCCACAATTGCTGAATCTTCTTGAAAGTCAGTGATTTTATAAGCTTAACAGTAATTATTGCAATGATCTCTTTCATATAGGACTAGAAAAACACACGTCAGCTATGAATAAGCAAAAGGTCAAAGAGGCTATTGGTTTGCTGGACAAAATGCAAAAGTAGGTTTTTCAACTCCTCTCTCTCGCTTAGTTCTTATGCCACCATTTACAGGAGAGCGTGTGAGGCTGCAACTCAGAACGACAACTTCATCCAGGAACTGTCGTCTTACAACGAAGTGGAAGGGCTTCCGGTAAATTTAATTGTTTAACCATATTTTATTATTCTGCACATACCTTCTGATCCAAAAGTACACTCATCATTTTGCGACTATTCTCCACTGATTAGTCCTGTCAGTCGGCGAAGTCATTGGTGTGGCATTAATTTGAATGACATCATAGATTTTTAGCACTTTCGTTGGAAAATTCGTTTTTCAAGATCGCTACCATTTATTAATAGCTTACGCGCATTTTTCTGCCTACCTCAGCCAATAAGAACATGATCAACTTTAATATCAACCGATATTCAGCCTCATTTAATTTCCTCGAGAAGAAAATTATTCATGAGCGTGGAAGCCCTTTCAATCTGTGGGACCGAAAACTGGCATAGTTTGAGGCAGAAAAAAGTGAAGATCCTTTTGTTCAACGATATTGTGATGGTATGTTTTTAGCCAAACTAGCTTGCAAATCTTTCATATAATAGAAGTGCTTCTCTGAACGTCTTTGCCTAGTATGTATAATCTACCACTGCAAAGTTCTATGGGTTTAGTGGTGGAATCTTTCTGAATACATTCGCGCCGATGTGTAATTTTTCGCTGCCTAGCGACCACAATGTCTCATTCGCCACAACCTACCTAATTCTGCTTTACTATTGCTGCACAGTTCAACTGTTCTGTGTGTGTGTGTGTGTGTGTGTGTGTCTGTGTGTGTGCCTGAAGGTAGCNGATACAGAGAGCGGAGAGACCACTTGTAAAAGCCAATATCTCCTAAAAATATTAAGCGATTCGTCGTTCTTTGCCCCAACGTGTTAGTTTCTAGTCGACCATGGTTGAGTGGGTGTTTTGGAATTCTAGTCGAGCCTACAGATTCGATCCTATCTCAAGCTATTCTAAGATGCTGATGAGCTATTGACTCACATCCATTTAGTTAATATTGCTCACTGTAATGGAGGCGAGATGAAACCACTTATTAAACTTCTCAGCATAAATTACACGTACTCTAAAGCATAGCATAGACATGGGAAGTAATGGGCGCGAGAAGGTCGAGTGTTAAAGTATGCGGATTGGTTGTAATGACTGTAGATGGCATATGCATAGTCTTAGATTGCAGAAGTTGTAGATTCAAGCGAATCTTAACATTTACTGCGTAAAGTGTGAATAACACAAGTTACAGATTCTGAGTGCTATGCGGCTTGGCAAAAACCAACTGTATGCCTATAAATCGTAAAATAAATTTGTTCGAGCAAAGCGGATATTAGAAAAACCTAATATTTAGTCTAAATATTTGTTTTCGGTGATGTGGATACACGTTGATATGGTGCGGTTTGTGTGCCTTCATCAACAGTTGACAACCTCTATGCTAGGTGATGTCTGAGCACCACTTTCACTAGAAATAGTCTTACTGGGGAACAACAAATTTGGCACGAAATACATTTTTTCTTCGAAAGCTGTGGAATACAGCAATAATCGCCGGCACCTGAAGTAAGATCTGTGAGTAGGTTGTCGATCAAATACTTAATATTAGTAAGGAAAGAAGACGTGCAGCCAAATATGCCTAGACAACGAGACGAGCGTGAATCAATTAGCAACGTTCAATAGACAATCCTACATCCGTTGAGGTGAAACGAACTCATAAAATAGTCATATGTTTAGGTGTGTAAAGTAAGACCTGGACATGAAAAGAGGCGAACACTTCATAGATTAGTGGGCCGTATGTCATTTTCTCGCACGTCGGAACAAGAAAAACCGTTTGTTCATTTTATTTTTTCTCTTACAAATACTAATAAGTTTTGTTCACAGCTCTTCTTCAGGTACAAATATTTTGCACATCTCTTGCTCCCACATGTTCATGAAATAAGCGCAGTTAGGCTAATTCAACGCAGTGACACGACAAACAATCAAGTGGAAGCCTCTGGTAGTGCATTTAAAATTTCGTTCCGGGAAAGATCTATAGAAATTGGGCACTATTTATTTCTATCTCAAATCTATAGGTTTATGGCATCGAACCTAAAAACTTGGAAGGGCTGCTCGCATAATAATTTAACGGAGGTATCATTTTGCAATAGCTGAATGTAGTCTATTATCCGGAATGGTTTGCATTATTCACCGAAGTTTAGTGAAGGATGTAGAAAACGGGGGGCTATTCAAAAATTCTTGCGTTGGGTGTTTAGACTGAGCATTGAATAATGACTATTTCATTTCTAATATATCCATTTTTCATTTGCTGCATAGAGCTCATAAATACTGCAAAATACTTATCAGGCAAAATATGCATTCACTCATCTCTCCGATGCTTTGTGAAGTTGAATGCACAGCGTATCCCTACGTTAATGATCAACACCTAGTATTTTATAAATGAAACGCTTCATGCTTTATATGACTACCTTCTCGGGAGTTTTAGTTGGAGGAATACACTAGCTACTGGAAGAGGCTGATGGATTTGGCTGCAAAGGGAATAGTGCCCTGCGCTGTAACTAGGATTTCTCTAGCAAGTGCTGAAGAACGAAGATATTGTAATTGTTGCCGTGCGTTTGGTTTGAACAAGCGTTGAACTAACCAATTGTGCTCAGTTTGGATGACCTTACCTTAAGTGCCGGACTGGTCTACAGAAATGCATCGCTACTACCGTAACGTTTTCGATGGCTGAGACAGCCTTGTTCTGTTCATAGAAAGTACTTATTGTGCTTATTTTATATCTTCCGCCTATATACGCTTGGACACTGAGAGGTGTGTCGAGCAACTTCTCGACTTCCACGTGGTACACTGGTGCGGTGAACAATGCTGAAATGCTCGAATTCGTAGCGGAGGTTCAAAAAAAAGTACGCGTATTGAAATCTTTCTATGGTTTGGTTTTATCGAAAATATATCTTCCTAATTTAGATCGTCATGCAATTCGGTCATGAAATTACATGGCCACGCTTTACTGATGCTTATACGCTATCCAGTGAGACTCGTAGTGCTCTAGTAAGGCATATAAGAACGTCAGTATTATTCTCAACATCTTTTTTTAACTACTTCTCAACTAATTTCGTTCATAGAACCAATGAAAACTCCTTGGCTATGAGATTTTTTCAATTCTAATTAATGCCTGATGGAGTACGTCAGGATTTATAACTACAGATGAAGAAATTAGCTCAAACGATTAAATAATTTATGAGTTGCGCCTGAAGATCAGTAGTGATGTCTCACATGACTCGTAATACCCGGCACGCATTGGCTTCAATGCATTTTGGGCGGCGACGGTGGGCGCTTTTCAATTTAAACTAGCACATTTCAGCTCACGTTAGGCATTGGCAATTCTAATAAAAACCAACAGAATCTGTAAATCTTTCCCTAAAAGACACAAGTTTTCTTATTCTACTAAAGTGAAGTTCTCTTGTTCTGAAACTTACCAAAAGTATTTTTTTTTCTTTGCACGGTGCTTTACGAACACGCAAACGGTTTACGAATGAGTTTTTCCCAACAAGGCACGATAGAGTCTCTAAATATGCTCGCTTGCTTTTCCCGTATACCTTGCTAGAGAAGATTTTGACAGCATTAAAGATTTTTATAATAGTACTAAGAATGTTATTGTGATGTTGATGGTACAGAGCAAATCTGTAAATAAATAATTTTCAGATTGCAGTCCAATACTTAGAGAGAGGTCAAGATGGCTGCGCCCATCCTCCTGCTAGAAGTCGCTCATAAGAAAATCTGACAGTTTTTGTTGGACAAAGAATGAATGAGATAATAGTAACCATGAAAGATGTTATTACTCTTAGAAAGCTGTTAATGTTCGAAGAACGTCAATTCTGTTCAATGTCATTAAAATCGCAGTTTAGTGTTCTCTCTATTCGGTTATGGATGTGCTTGCCACAAAAAATACGGCTACGTTTGACGTTTCGCTGATGTCCCACACCGAGTAAACCATGCTCCCCATAATGTTAGAATTGTAATTAAACATTATAATAGTCTTAGAAAACACGACCATCGTTTCAATAAACCGGTGATTCTTCGAAGGTAATTCTATAGAGCTTCTCACATTCGATAAGGCCACGAGGCTATTTGTTCTCGTATTGCAATTCACAGAAACTATCTTAACTCTTTTATTTACTGCCTTTTTCTTCTTAATGGCAGGGTATGTTGTTAAATATAACTCGTATGAAGTGCTGAGATATCTGCAAAACTCCGGACCACAGGTGTATGCAGTGGAGAACGAACACGAGCT